AAGGCAGGGGTGTATGGATGTATATTTGAGTATTTGAGTATATTTGAGAAGTTTCCTTTTGTGGCTGCTGCCGCTCATTGCCAGGGGGTAACCAATGAGCCAGTTAAGGAATGCTGAGTGATTAATAACCATCTTTCCTGGCCAGTCACTGCTGGGGTGTCAATGAGCAGAGAGAGAAGAATCTAGAAAAACAAGTTACTTCAGTTCCAGGGTCCAAATTACCTTAGTTTCAGCAATTGTCATTGTTTAACCCAAGGGGGGGGGGGCTTTACAAAAATTGAGTGGTCATGACTTAAAGACCTTGTCTCAAAACAAAACCGAAGCAGCATTTTGCAATAAGCACTTTGTGTATAATACTGATATGGAAAGGGACAATTATCAAAGAGCATCTTCAAAAGACAGACTCATAGTTTTGTTGTTGTTGTTTTTGCATATTCCCTTGCATGTTTTTCTTCCCATTTGTTTTTTGTTTTTTTTTTTTTTTCTAAATCACAGTGGGGCTTGAACCAGGGCTCGCTGAATTCTCTCTGCCACTGAGCTATAATGAAAACTTCTTCTAATGAAAACTTCTCATTATAAAATGCTCCCTGTATGCTTTATAATGAAAATTTACTTCCTCTGGAACTACAGAAAAATTAATTTAAAAATTTTTGTTCTCTGGAACCTCATTAGTTGCCTTTCTCACTAAGATAGAAGACCCAAGAGAGACGATGTAAGAGAGGCAGGAGGACTGGGGCTCAGCATTTCAGAAGGGGTACTACATCCCAGTGGTGTGAGCTCAGGCTAGCGAGGGACCCTGCTTCACCAGGGTACGTTGGATTTCCAGCAACTATTCTGCAACCAGCTCTATCCAAATTCCAGAGACAGGAGTTGACAATGGTTCGGGTAGGTCAATATTTGGAGAGGGGTGGAGATCCTTGGGTGAGAAGATTAGGAGGTGAGTCATGTCAGGGGTGTGTTGGGAGCACCTCAAGTCTGTGTGCCGAGTGGCTCTGCTTGGTGTCCGCCTCGTCCTCCACGGCAGGAAGGCTTCCACCCAGGGCATTGTGCTCCTCCTAATGTTCTGTGGTCACCATCTTGAAATTTCCCCTTTTTTGCATATATACGTGTAGGTGGGTGTATGGATGTATATTTGAGTATTCACATGTATGTGGGTACACACGCATAGGTGTGCACACATGGGGAGGTAGGTGCTGGCTCGTTTTATGTCAGCTTGACACAGGCTATCGTCATATGAGAGGAAGGAACCTCAGCTGAGAAAATGCCTCTGGGAGACTGGGCTGCAGGCAAGCCTGTAGGGCATTTTCTTAATTGGTGGTTGATAGGGGAAGGCCCAGCTCACTGGGGGTGTACCACCCCTTGGCTGGTGGTCCCGGGTTCTATAAGAGGGCAGGCTGAGTACGGAGAGCAAGCCATTAAGCAGCGCCCCTCCACGGCCTCTGCATCGGCTCCTGCCTCTAGGTTCCTGTCCTGCTTTGAGCTCCTGTCCTGGCTTCCTTCAGCAACGGACCACAGTGTGGAAGGGGAAGCCGAATAAACCCTTCCCTCCCCAGGTTGCTTTTGGTCATGATACTGCATGTCTTCCTTCACCACTCTCCATTTTCTACACCGAGGCACGGTCTCTCATCGGGATCCAGAGCTCACTGCTTCAGGCTCCTCTGGCTCCCGGTTTGCTCTGGGGACTCCTTACCTCTGCCTCGAATGCACTAGGTTTGCAGGTGGCCTGCCACACCCACCCAGCTTTTGCGTGTGTCCTGGGGATCTGAACTCCAGTCCTCACTCTCGCATGGCTGAGCCACCTCCTTAGCACCTTGAAATTCTTCTTGCTGTTAAACTAGTCTATTTTTGATTGTGTATATGTGTGTTTGCGGGATGGGGGTGGTGGGAGCGGGGGTGGGGGGGGCGTTTGTGCACCTGAGTTCAGGGATCTCGCGAATATGAAAAGGGCATCAGATTCCCTGGAGTTACAGGCAGTCGTGAACCTCCAGAGATGGGTGATGGGGACTGAACCTGGATCCTTTGGGAGAGCCCCAAGCGCTCTTAACCACTGAGCCATCTCTTCAGGCGCCCGTTGGTATTCTTGTCAGTGTGATCTGTGAGCTGGGGTTGTTTAAATAAATCTGAGGGTGCGTGCAGGGTGTGCATGGGGCCTGTGTGCACAACAGCTCGCCTAACCACCGTTTCACACACGCACTCAGGGTGCCACCGTCCACGTGGGGGCGATGAGCGAGCCTGGCAGCAAAAGGTACGGGTTGCTGCGCCTACAACTGCGCATGCGTGATCTGAGTTTTAGGCTTGCTATGCAAGTCAGGAGGATGCCAAACACGGGAGCGGGGACACATTGCCAGAGCCACGAATACCAGCCAGAGAGATAAGTCAACCCCCAGACCCCACGTAAGAAAGCCAAACGTGGTGCTGCACACTCATGACCCCAGTGCTGTGGAGGTGCAGACAGGAGGATCCCCGGAGCTCTGGGGTCACCCAGTCTAGCTTTTAAACTCACCTTTTAAAAATTTATTTATTTCGTATGCATGTGTTTTGCCTGCACGGATGCGTTCCCCAAGTGTGTGCAGTACCCACAGAGACCACAAGAGGGAGACGGATCCACTGGAACTGAAGTGCTTGTGAGCTGCCGTGGGGGTGCTGGGAGCTCACCTTGGGTCCCTCTGTAAGAGCTGCAAGTGCTCTTAACCACTAAGGCATCTGTCCAGATCATCCTTACACACATACGTTGCTGAGAGAGCAGTTGTGAGGTTTCTGGGATTCCCCACCAGAGCCCCGTGCATTTCAAGAAAGCTCTGCACTTTTAATTCTGTTTTAACTTGCAGTGACTTGTGACACCAATATAATTCATGAGTAGTGGAGTAGGGGGATGTAGAAGGAAGGGAAAATCCTGTGTTCCTTCCACGCTGCTTCTCCCTGCTTTTAGAACAAGCCTGCACTGTTTTCTCTTTGCACTGCAAACTCCATAGCCAGCTGCTATGGTTTGGTCCCCTAGAAAACCACAAGGTACAGGCTTGTTCCCCAGTCTGGTGTTATGGCAGGGTCTGTGGCCTTGAGGAGGTGGGGCCTTAGCAGTCCTTCAGTTCGAGTCCTGAACGCAAGTCTGCAACCCGCTGCTGGCACTTCCTGAACACCTCACTTCAGTGAGTGCTCAAGCCAAAACCCTACTCCAGCGTGACCCCCGAGAGGTCCAAAGAGAAGGGCAGTAAGTACTTCGGAGGACAATTTAAGGGCGAATAGGGCCAGTCAGCTCTTAGCCATAGAACCTTGCTCTCGGAGTCTTGTCCACCATCTGCCCTTTCCAGTGAATCGGGAAGACGAAGGAGCTTTCACAGCCAGGAGCCTGAGACGGCTGAGGAGTTAGGACTCACTCACAATCACCCGCTGGTCTGTGAGGATCAGGGTCTGAGCCAGCACCAAGTTGGAGGCTTGCATTGCCTGGTGTGAGGAGATGGTCCTTCCGCAGTTGGGTTTCTTGCACGGCAGCTTTCAGGGCAGAGTCCAGAGCTGCGCCGTCCCAACTGTGAATTCAGTGTTTACTTAAATCCTGTTTGACTTGTCTGCCGCTTTCTGATTTTGACTCCGTGCTCTGCTGCGGCCATTCTGTGCCAGCAAGACGTGTGTTCTGTGGGTCCAGTTTATTGTGTTAGGACTCTGTGTCCAGTGACAATAAGCCCGGGTGGGGAGAGGCCCCACCCGCCAGGCCTATAGATAGCCTGATGCTGAGCAAATAGTCATGATGAGCACCTGGGGAGTGCGTTATTGACTGAAGCCACAGTAATTAGTGGTTTGAATGCTCTTGAATGTTTTCCCAGGAGTGTCCCTCAACACATTTCCCTTTTGCACTGGCTGTCAGGAATCTCAGAGTCATGTTTGTAAGGATTTCTCAGGAAGACTATAAATAACACACACACTCTTTATTGTTGTTTTGTTTTGTTTTGTTTTGATACATGGTTTCTCTGTGTAGCTCTGGCTGTCCTGGAACTCACTCTGTAGACCAGGCTGGCTTCAAACGCAGGGATCTGCCTTCTTCTACCTCCCGAGTGCTGGAATTAAAGGCGTGTGCCAACACTATCTGTACTTTTTTGATCTCTCTTTTTTGTATCTTCTTTGGCTTGGTTTTCAGGCTCTCGAGTATATCACATACATCCTTGCACGATGCTGTAGATGCTACAACTTGTTGCACCCTTTAACCGTCTTAGCTTGAGGACGTAATTCCATTGGTAAAGCAGTTTACCCAGTGTGTACAGAGCCCTGAATTCCATCTCTTGAACCACATAAGTTGGACCTGCAGGTACACACCTAGAATTCTAGCATTGAGGAGGTGAAGGCAGGTGGCTCAAAGGACATCCTTAAACTGCATAGTTATATCAAGAACAGCCTGGGCTACATGAGACCCTGTTGCAAGCAAATGAATAGTAGATAAATGGATAGATAGATAGATAGATAGATAGATAGATAGATAGATAGATAGATATAGATAGATATAGATAGATAGATGAATAAATTCATGCCCTGAACTTCTGGCCAGCAGAGGAAAAGAACCCTCAGCAACATCACATGTTTTTGGAACAGCAATAAGCTACTCTTTAACTGCTTTCCTGGGTTCTAGGCATTATGTGGGGGAAGGTGTCTCCTAGCTAGGTGGCCTAGACATGGTGGAGACGGCACCCGGGATTCACTGCAGGTAAAAGGCAAGACAGAGCTGCAGGCCCCCACAGAACACCTGTCTGCTCTGACTAAGACCCTCAGTTGTTGCGGAGAGGACCTGCATCCCAGGTTCACCTGCACAGCCCCATGGGGTAAAGGACATGCCACGGGATGCTCAAAGTGCCTGGGGGGCATGAATGTAAGAGAATTCAGGTGCTCTGTTTTTTACTAGGAGAAGCACCTGAATCCAGGAAGAGACGCGTTTCCATAGGGCTGGCAGGGGCGGGGAGACTCCTCCCAGCTTGTGTTTGCCCTGCTCTGTGTATTCAGCCAGCAGGAAGCAAAGAGCAGGGGGCCAGGCTCTGCAGATAGTCTGGTACTGGGCAGCAACAGCTGGAGACACAGGAAGCGCAGAGACGACTGCTGAAAACATCAGGGGACCCACGATACTTCCACTAGCAGCTCACCAGGTACCCACGTCCAGAGACTTGGAGCTCTGCTGGACTGTCAATTATTTGTCGTGGGGGTGAGACAGAGGCTGGGATCTGAGGGTTGGATCTCACTCATTTGCTGTGTGGTCGTGGGTATATGAGAGCTTTGGTTTTACTGTCTGGGACATGATTGCTCTTCCTAAGAAGTGTCAGTGGCCATGTGGGGTGTATTGGGTAAGGAGCAGCATAAACCATTCATTCCAGCCTGTGTGAACTGTGGAGGGGCGTCAAAGGAGACTGGGGACCATTGGCAGGGTGAGACTCTCACAGCCAAGCAGACTTCAGATCTGTGGCTAGGGACATTGTTTAAGAACCCAAGGAGACAGGGGAAAGGGAGTCTTTAGGTGTCACCTGTGAATCTGGCTCTCTCTGTCTGGTGTTCATGACTATACAGTGAAGCGTGTGCTAAATTCAAGTCCCTGGATTTTTGCATCACCTCTGAACCAGGCTTCTGCCTGGAAGAGCCATGATGCTCAGACAGCGTCCTCCACCTTATCACAAGCTGGCCAGGTACCCTGGGGACAGGTTCCTTCAGCCGTGGATCCGCCATCGGTGTCACGGCACAGCCACTTTCCAGTGAGGCTGTGGAGAGGGATGGGAGGTAAAGCTGCAGGGGTGGGTACTATTGGATCCAGGTAACATCCAGAAGGAGGGAAACTGGGTTCACGAGGACCAAAAGACTCAGTCATCAAGATCCGCTAAAGCGAGAGGCAGGGGCACTCAGGAGGCAGAGGCGGGAGGATCGCCACATGTTTAAGGCCAGCCTGTTCTACATGGCAAGCTCAGGCCAACCAGTGGGATATAGTGAGACCCTGTTGCAAACAAACAAATAAATAAATACGGGCTGGGGAGGTGGCCTAGCAGTTCATATTACTTCTTGCTCTTGCAGAGGACATGGGTTCTGTTCACATGACCCATATGACAGGTCATCACCATCTCTGTGAGCACTGCATGCATCCATGCACATACATATATACATGCATAGACACACATACATGCATACATACATATATACATGTATACATACATACATACAGGCAAACACTCATACACATAAAATAAAAATAAATCTTTTTTAAAAGTTGAAACCAATAAAAAAAAATATAAAAAGGCCAATTACATTTTAAGACAAAATTCACAAAATAAAAAGTAATCAAGACATCCTTGATTCACAAAATCTCAACTCAGTAAGAACAAGAACAGGGACAGCATTAATCTTGATTTTTAAAAATTGTGTTAAAGGGCTTAGGGAAGATAGCTCAAAGGTAGAACACTTGCCTGCCAAACAAGAGATCCTGGGTTCCATCTATAGCACCACAGAAAAACCAACCAACCGATCAAACAAAGAAACAAACAAAAGAAGTTTCACCTCTGTAACCCAGTGCTTGGGAGGCTGAGGCAGGAAGGTTGCGATTAGTTGGAAGCCAGGCTGAGTCAGGTTGTGAGTTCCAACCTGTACTGTAGTGTGAGACCGAAGAGAAGAGAAGAGAAGAGAAGAGAAGAGAAGAGAAGAGAAGAGA